CCTTGCCATACAGTGCAAAAATACATTCTAAGCAACAGTGGCTAGAATCATATTTATAGTAAGTTACAATCGTTTATTTCTATTTTATTTAATCTTAATGTTTTCCTTAAGGGTAATTTGTGTGTGTGTGTTTGTGTGTGTGTGTGTGTGCGTGTGTGTCTCTAAATTCAGAATTTGGATATTTATTTCTTAAAATTCAATAGAGAAAACGGTTTAATAATTTAATAAATTAAATGTGATATAAAATAGAGCTACGAACCACTCTGGATGTTTTGTGAGTAAAACTTTTTTTATAAACAATCAAATTATATACAATAAAATTCAAACAGATGGTTTGATTCGTATCGAGTCATTCTCTATATTAAAATTTGAAATGTTATTGGTAATGGCGCAAGGATGCTCACAAGTTAATAATCAAGTAAACGCATATAAATGTAGTAATACTCGCATGTTAGATAGCAGAACTAAGGGAATAAACACGGATTCCAAAAAGCTGTTTCATCGAAAACTTGATTTCAGTTGCATAAATTATAGTCATATTTTCTTAATAAATCTCCTCCCAACAATAGAATTGATAGATAAAACGAATAACATGTGATAACAATTATAAAATCGCTTTCATATATCTTTTCATAACGATAAATCAAACAGTTGTACAACTATAGACTAAAATCGTAAATTAAAAAATTTTATGGAAATATCGTAATAATATAAAATTATTAACATTTTAGTTATTAACTATTACTTTGTAATAAATAATTGAGAGTCACAATATTAAAATTTTATAAATAATGATTGAATAAATACCTGTGGTTTTTAATAATGTTCAATCCGAAAAGTCGTGATAGAACCTCTCCCTGATGTATCTACCATTTATACAATCCTTACCCATCGTGAATTCCTTTTTTTTTCTTCCCCTCCTATTATGACTTTTTTAACAATCGATTACATTTGGCATTTATCTCTTTAATATCAAGACTCTTGCTATTTTATACATTTTCACTTTTCTTTTATTTATTCATTATTTTATTCATTTACACTTTTCTTTTATTTTTGAGGATCGAATATTATTAAACCGCAGATATTTATTCAATCATTATTTATGAAATTTTAATATTGTGATTCAATTATTTATTATAAAGTGAATTGAAGTGTTGATAATTTTCATATTAATACAATATTTCCATATTTAAATTTTATGATTTTAGTCTACAGTTGTACTATTTGATTTATAGTTATGAGAAGATATATGAAGTGGTTTTATATTGTTATCACATGTATTTCATTTTGTTATCAACGATTGATGGAAGGAGATTCACTAAGAAGATATGACTATAATTTATGCGATAAGACTGCTTCTTGGAATTTGTGCCATTTATTCCTTAGTTTTGCTATCTAACATGCGAGTATTAAATGCGTTCATATACATTTACATTTATATGCGTTTACTTAATTATTAACTTGCGAGCATCCTTGCGTCATTATCAATAATATTTCAAATTTTAACATTGAGAATGACCGATGGGAGTCAAAATGTCTGTTTGAATTTTGATGTATATGATATAATTTAATTGTCTATAAAAAAAGTTTTACTCGTCGAGAGTGGTTCGTTTTGTTCCATTTTATATTATTTAATTTATTTCTTAATTTTTATAGTCAATGGAAAGCTAAGCGAACAGGACGAGATCGTGCGGTGCCTCATATTAAATCTTACACAAGAATTTCACCAGATTCGAAAAATATTCCATGGTTTGTGCTTACCAGTGCAAATCTGAGTAAATCCGCTTGGGGAAATGGACGACTACATTATTATATAAGAAACTATGAGGCCGGCGTTATATTTATACCAAAACTTATCGTAGGCACCATATTATTATTTTAATAGATTTATTTTTTATTTTAATAAATTTTTATTTTTTGATGGATTAATGGGTACATATTATGGAATGTGTTTAAGGCGTATGTTTTAGACAATTAATATTAATTATTATATCTCAAACTTGTTTATATTTAGACTGGGACAACGACATTTCCTATTGGGGACGGAGATGATTCAGTCGTTCCGATATTTCCGATTCCATATGATCTTCCATTATGCCGATATGAATCGAGTGACCGTCCTTTCGTCTGCGAATTTCTTAGCTCTTTGGCTGATAATTTTTCAGTTGATAATGGAAATAAATAATAGCAATAAATGATGATACCAATTAGACCATAAGGGTCAAACATGAGAGTGACAATAACGCAAGCGAACACGCTTAGGAAACATTAATTGAAACAATGGAACGCAAAAGAATTTCTTTGAAATAAATGTTTGAAATAAATGTTTCTTTTACGCATTTTGCTTCTCTCGTTTGCACTTCTTACAAATTTCATTTAAGTTTCTATCAATTTCTTGTTTCTTCTTTCACTTACCCTCCGATCTTTATTTTTGCTTAGGAAGGAATTTATTCCTATGAAATATCGAATATTAATAATCGTCGGAGAAATATTTTGCGATATCGTAGTACAACAATTTGCAAAGAATTTGTATCAATAAATATTTTCAACCTATTTATTGTAATTTTTAAGCGACAGAATGGCAAATGTGTTCCTATATGAAGACAAATGGTGATGGTTTCTTGTTGGACGTTATTATACTGAATGAAAAGATTGATTGCAGCAGCCAATTTTTGGT